AAGAAATGTGGAGGAACTTAAAGAATTCAGTATCTGTCTATATACTTCTGAGATGAGGTGTTATGTACAGTATTTACATTTTTCGGATTATTGTTCTTATTCCTTGTTTTTATTACAACTTTTCGGCCATTGTACGCTCCGGCCTTCTTCAGGTGGTTGGAATGTCGAACTGAACCCTAGTTCCACGTTCCATGTTTAATGGGTGTCAGTTATCAGTTATCTCCTGTTAATTCCCCTCTCCAAGTTCTCCATTGCCTTAACCGGGTATTGAACTCACAGTCTTTGGGTCCTGTCACTGGATGTAACTAACGCCTTTATATATATATATATATATATATATATATATATAATTTATTCAAAAATTATAATATAAATATGTTCTAAAATCACTTAAAAAAATAGCCATTTTGTTTGAAAACTTCTGGTGTTTTATCTCGTGATGTTGTTGAATGACATTCAACACCATTTTTGTAGTGATTTTATCACATATTTATGTCATAATTTTCGAATGAATTATATTTGCTCTACTCTGTATTGAGCACTCTTTTAAGAATAGTAATTTTTGGTTATTAGAATTCATTCCGTATACACTAATCCTATACTTGTATATATATATATATATATATATATATATATATATATATATATATATTATATTTATTTATTTATTTAAAAGAAAAAACAGCACACTTTAAGGTACCATTATAATAATTTATTTCACCAGAGCCCTTTTAAAGGACGCCGGATCATCACATAGCACTTCCAAAAATGAAAATGAAACGAAAATGAAATGAAAAAAAATGAAATGAAACGAAAAATGAAATTAAAATTGATGGGTAGTGTAAGTTTTTGTAATTTAACAGAGAGTGTAAAAGGAGTAGTTAAAGAGACATGGTAGAGTATAGGGAGGGATTAATTTCATATCTCTCTCAAGTATACTTTATATTGGGGGAGGAGGAATGACCAGACCTTGACCTATTTAGACGGTTAACTTAACGGAAGTGATAGGAATGGTCTATTTGATAGATATTGGAAGAACTGGAGAATCTTCGAACAAACTAATTTTAAAATACGTATTTTATAAATTATCCTACGAGATACCTGTACAAATATAGTGAAGACATTTAATACTACCTGTAATTATCGTATCTAGGGAAAATGCGTTTTAGCCCACTTCAAAAATATTCTTACAATTATCCCAGTGTCAGATCCACTATCTGCAAAGACTTTTCGTGGTAATAACCATACTAAGTGGTATTTCCGTTAATCTCGTTTGCTGGAACTAACCTTTTTATGTTGGCCATGTGTCGATTAGCAGTTCTTTCGGCGAACAGCTTTCCTCAGTCTGTTGTTTCATATGATCGTGCGATATTTAAGAAGCACACGTTTTACATCCGATTACGCAGTTTCCCTCAACTTATTTGCTATCTGGAAAGAGTGATTTGAGTGATAAGGTTTGTATATTTTACTACCTCTGCCCTATTTTATCACGCAGAGTTGTTCTATGCTGTTGTTGCAGAGGTTCAAGGGTGTGATAAGTCGCCTGAATACGCCTTTTACGAGGAGGATGTTTATGCAAGGCGGGTATTTTATTGCACCGATAAGTTTAATCCACCGATGAGGAAATGGCGTCAATTTTAATGGTGGCTGCGATGAAAATTGGTTCAGAAGTGCAAGCAAAACATCAATATTTTATTTGTATATTAAAGGTAATGACAAATTTAACTGATATCGGAAGTGGAATCGGCGAGCAGAATTTGAATCCTTGCGCTCACATTCAGACAAATATTTGCTTTTTTATAATTTCATCCCAAGCAAGCTAGAGAAAAAACACATATTCTTTTGTAGAAGGAATCTTGCTTTTGATGTTGGCACCGGTTTCCCGATTTGCGATAAGCGTCCATGTTAAGACGATAAACTACATCTGCATCCCGGGTAAGACGAAAAACTATATGCGCATCCTAGGTAAGACAATAAACTACATCCGCATCCTGGGTAAGACGATAAACTACATCAAGGTCCTGGGTAAGACGATAAACTACATCCGCATCCTGGGTAAGACGATAAACTACATCCGCGTCCTGGGTAAGACGATAAACTAGGTCCAACAGCAAGGCCTCTGATAAAGATGTTTTGACGAGCATGGAACCACCTCTTAATTTCTGGTGTTCCCAGGTCAACCTTGATATGGGGTCGTAGCACCTGTTAGGATCCGAACTCTGGGCAAATAGTTAACCCCAAACTGGGGGCAAAACATTATGACAGTGTAAAAATAGGTTTCAATACCAGCAATAATTGTTTTGAGCAAAAAATATTACCAGCAATACATTATTACCAGCAATACACTTTTGAAGAAAAAAATATTACCAGCAATGCATTTTTGAAGAAAAAAGTATTACTAGTAATATATTTTTGCAAAAAATATTACAGCACTATAAATCTTTTCGGCATTAAATAACCCATTGAGGTTGAGATAGCGTAAACCAAATCAAACTATTTTGTGATAACCACTGTTTTATCGTTTTCTGTCGATATGCAAAACCCACATTTCATGTTCTATGACAGTGTTACGTAAAAATAAAAGGTGGAGATTTCTGGGTAAAAGTCTTCTGACGCTAACGGAACGTTTTGATCAGTTCTGAAGCGAATTCCACTAAGTGGTTACTAAGTGTGAGAGAATATGAGAACAAGAGAACATTATTAAGGAGAGAGAACAATGAAAGAACAGGAATTTAAATTTTCGATGATGAAAGTTGATTGGATGACGAAGTGTTGTTCACAGTGGAGGCTTGTATTTCAATAAGTCGTCCTAAATTAGATTCGACGTACAAAACGTTAGGAACTTGAAATAAGAGTTAATGACGCAGCAATCTAGTTGTGATGGTTGGTACTTCAATGTCCGATATCGACTGACTCACTCAGCACCACTGAGCCCAACTGGCGACCGCTACTACTATTACTACTTATTATGTGTGGGAGAGTCTATTAATAATAGAATAGGTATAACACGAAGAGAAATCCACAAAAAAAGTACAAGTAAAAAACTCTTAGCATAGAACGTACGGTTCGATTTAAGCATCCCAACTGTGGCGATATCTTTGTATTACGTTTAAAATTTAAAGTTTGGGTACCACTGTGAAAAGTGATATTTATTCCTGTGGATTTGCAGGAACTGTGGCACAAAGTCAAAAGAAGGAATGTGGAAGACTGGTCTCCAGTCTATCTGAATTTTAACGTAACATACTGACCCAAACGAAGTACAATATTCCTTACACCAAAACAACACATTCTTTCTTTCTTTCTTTCTTTTTATGTACCGTTTCCTTTCAGGACGTAGGCACCCATGGCCCTCCACTTCCCTCTATCCGTTGTAGCTCAAATTAAGTATCGTGTCTCTGCCAATTCCACCAGACTACTTGCTTAAGCCCGACAGGTATGTCATGCGTTGCTTTGCCTTGTCTCTTTTCCCCTCTATTTGACTTGTGTGTATCAGATTCTCCAGGTCCCTCTTTCTCATTACGTGTTCCAGAAATTTCATCTGCTTCTTCCTTAAGTTAAGTATAAGCTTGCTCCTTGTTTGCATCCTCTCCAATTCTACTTAAAGCTGGACAATGCAAATCACCATTCTTACTCCACACACCATAAGATCGCATAGTTTCTATGAAGTCCTAACTAGTCCCCATATGCTTAATTTGTCCGTGGGGATGGCGAATAAAATAACATCTTTTAAAAATATCCCCAATATTTACAATGTGTACAATTCTATATACAATAAACTAAAAATAAAGTTAGCAATAAAAAAAAACCTTAATTGTGACAGAAACATCAGTTAACTGGACGAAATTAATGGGGGACTTAAATGACTTAAATAACTATTCTACCAACCACACACTCATTCAGATACAACAACAAATACGAAAAGCGCCTATCGAAATAAGAAAGACATCCCGCTTCCACTTAATAACTGATAGATCTATCACTTAACGGGAGGGATATGTATATGGGCAAGTCAAGTAGATCCCATTAATATAAAATATTAAAACTGATCCACAAAACAGAGGTCAATATAAATTTTATTATAGAACATATAAGTTAATTACAGTTAATGAGATTCAAACTATTTACCTCATACAGAGGATCATTTCGTCCAGGGAAAAGAAGTTTTTAGCCTGGACTTATCAATTCAAATACATTCACTAAACAAAGCGCCTCTCGAAATATGAAAAACGTCTTCCTTCAATATGAGAACTGATATATCTGTCACTTAAAGGGAGAGAGAAGTGGGGGATTAAACTGAAGAAATTGGAGACACAAATAAAAGATGCCAATACATCCCCTAGCTAAGATAATATTGATGGAAGAAAATAGGACTAAAATATACCAAAACTACTCAAATTTTGGTAGGCTTGTGAAAGTTCAAAACAGATAACAAAATGCCATAGTGGAAAGTTCACCAGAACAACTGCAGTAATAATATCTATAGAAAATGCACAGGGAAGCTACGTTACGGCGATAGGAAAGTGACTGAAACCGAGATACCAGATCAGGGCCAATAACATTGCAGATTCTTCTTCGTATTTCATCAAAACTCACTAAATACGTACTAGAAGCACCGGGCTATCTCGTCCAAATGGTTAGATCTAATGATGATGTTGCGCAGCGCTTTAAGACTATACGCAAAAGCCCTGTTTTCATATAACAAGCAGTTTCCTCAAGGTCTTTCAAGTGTTTCACAGCAGCTGGATTTGTTCACTATCTGCCCATGGGGTTTGGAATTAACAATCTGGTCCACCACAGAACTGCTAAAATCTAACTTTATTTTGGTCAGGGTGACGATGGGTGCTTCTAGGCCATCGAAACAATCTTGGCCCCTTCACATGTTCATCAATTGGGGTCTCACACAATTATTTCATACGATGCTATTGTTACAGAGTGGCAAAGGTGTCTCTACTCACTTGCTGCAAATATTTATGTGGCCATGCAGTCAAGTGTTTTGGAGTTACGGCTATATCACGTTGAAACACCTGTTTTCATACGATCACCAAGTTAAGCAACATCGAGTCTGGTGAGTACCTAGATGGGTGACCTCTTGGGAATATCAGGTCTTGTACGCGTGGTTATACAGTGTGGTAATGGATAACGGCTCGGAATTGGAAGTTCCAAATCTAGTCGGGTTCGTTACATTCAGATACAAGCAAATACCCTTGGAAAAGTATGAATCCACCTATTCTCCCCAAGCTATGGGTTAATTAGTAGGAATTGTATCAGTAACTCTTAGAAACTCTCAAAAATTCTTGCAATATTTTCTGACTTTAAATAACATACAAAAGTTTGATAAGCCGTAAAAATCAATCAATCATCAAACGTTTTGTCACGTATCCAAGGTTTTAGTGACTGAAACAAATGAAAATGTGTATCTGCCCCTACAAATCTTGTCTGTGTTCATTTGCAGTGTCATGCTGGAGAATAATACCTATTCTATTTACTAAATTAGGACGCTTTCGACATTATTCTTTGTTTACTTGATCAAGTTCCAGGCGATAAACCTTTGCAGGGATGATCCTTCCATGGTCCAATAGATCGTAATGGACGAAAAATTTCCTATTCCTACAAACACAAGCCAAAGATTTTTGTGGAAAGAACTTTTTTTGATATTGACGCCGGTTTCCTATTTTGCAAGCACCACTGTTTTATCGTTTTCTGTTCACATGAAAAACCCAATATTTCATCTCCCGTAACAATGCTAGGCAAAAATAAAATGTTTGATATATCTGGTTAAAAGACTGCTGCCGATGGCGGAACGTTGTGATTGGTTCTGAAGCGAAAGTTCATAAGATTAATTATCACTTAATAGATTTTCTCAATTAAATCCCGAGGAGCCCTATAGAGGAGAGACTGTCAGATAGAAACGAAAACAAACTAATTCTTGATGCAGCTTACCACCGCTCAAGTGTGTCTCTGTCTTGGTTGGGTGGGTCATAATTCATAGCAGAGAAATAATGATTGAAATTGGTTAGCTCATAATTCATAGAGGTGAAATACATAATTACTTTCCAAACACCATAATATTAGAGCGATGATTGGTAAATTAACTTCGAAAAACTTTGCGAGTTCAAGGAGTAAGATTTTCATTGACTTCCCCACTGATAAAGACAGTTTGCAGACTAATTTGAGTTTAGTAAGCAGTTAATCAGAGTTATGAAATCGAATATTTAGTTTCAGGAAGTTGAAACTGTGGACAGACATCAAATATCCATAGAGAAAATTCTCATATTCTGGCCCGATAAAATGTACTTGGTCACCTTGTAGACAATTGAAATCGTTTCACATTTATTATACAAATATCTATCCTATGCTGAACTTTCATTTAACGTTAATCGGTCGGAAATTTCCAATATATTGACAAAATTTCCCGAAGGAAATGTATTCATGCGTAGCTAGGAATCATTATGTAAGACAGATGAATTTAAACTCAAATTCCGACAAAAATCGTCTACAGAGTGAGAAGAGAAAAAAAGAAAGAAAAGAAAAGTGAAACTTGCTGATATATCTTGTTTGTCTCAAACGTTTGACGACCTTGCCTGTGCGTGGTTGTGGCAGTCTATTCAACACATTTTATGTTGTATTCGAAGACTACTTCTTATGGTTGATATTTTTAAGTTTGACTTAGTCTGGCGGAAGGATACGATCTGTAAGGAGTTATTTTCTTAACGGCTGCGCAAGGACAACTACGAGTCAGTTACGTGTCATGCGTGATACACACTTAGGCGATCATGTATCTTTCGATACATGACTGACGAGGCAGATTTTTTCTGCAGTAGGTTGCTGAGGTAGACCAGTTGACATCCAAGGCTATAGAACCTGGTCTGTCCTACTATTTTCTGGGGTCGGGGGAGGGAAGAAAAAGAGGATTCCCAAGTGGATGGTTCCCGATCACTACCATCTTAACCAGTTCAAGTCCAGAGTTAACTGTTATATTCCTCTTTTATACTTATAAACTGCTCATTAACGTAACACTCTACCTCAAGTGACTCTTACTATGAAAAAAAATACATATTAAATAACAAAAAAGTGAAGACAATTCTTAACATTCGTGCCAGGAAAAAAAGGTCTTTCAAATGGCCATTTTTTTTTTTTTTTTTTTGTCTTTACACCATTATTGTTTTAACTACATTCACTGATCGATAATGGTTATTGTTTTAAAAAGTGACGCTTAGAATTGTGCACATACGAGATGAAAGTGCAGTTATGCCTAAGTTGTGAGTTCGATCTTTAATGGCTACTCCACAATTTCGGCCTTGTGTCACATCTAAGCTAGGCTTACTAAAGGGCACATCGATGTGGTGTAATATTTAGCAAGTTTGTGCCACTAGATCAATTACGAATGAATAGTGAGTTCGATTGTTACAGTGTGCTCCAGGATTTCGGCCTAGTGCAACATTTAAGCTACGCTTAGAAAGCCGCAAGGAGCGCTTCAAAGTGGTGTAATGGTTAGCAAGCTAGTCTCATCATATCAATTACTACTGAGTAGCGGGTTCGATCCTCCGTTGGCGTTCTATAATTTCGGTTTTGTGCCACATTTATTGTTCGTTACTTTGGTGTGGTGTAATATTTAGTAATCTTGTCTCCTTAGAACAATCATGACTGTATAGCGAATTCGATCCTCACTAGGTGTTCCCTAATTTCGGTCTTGTACCACATTTAAGCTACGCTTAGATAATCGTTAGTTACTTCGATATGGTATAACGGTTAGCAAGTTTGTCTCTTTAGAACAATTACGATTAAATAGTGAGTTCGATCCTTACTGGAAGGCCTATACTTTAAACTACGCTTAGAAAATCACCATACAATGTGAATTTATACATATTTTTTGCTCTTGAAATCCTTATTATTTACCATTTTATAAAGATCGAATCGATTGACAATTACCCGATATTTTTCCAACCACTCCATAAACACTCTAATAAATAAATAGTGTAAATAAACAATTTCATAAATAAATAGTGATTATTATTTATGTTGTCAATTCTCAAGAATAAAGAAAACGTATAAATTCACTTTCAAATGTTTAGATCTTCTTAAAATTCTAATAATAGACGTTTTAGTACAATAGACTTTGCAGTAGTTAAATAATAAGAATATTTTAATATTTTTTTTTACTGATAAGAATATAAGAATAAATAAAGTTTATTTTTTCATAAATAGTTTTATGATAATTTTCCTGATGAGCTTAGCACATTGGTGCCTGGCCTTTACGAATTAATGCGCAGTACGAGATTGCGAGCAAGGTCACATCATTTTACAGTTGAAACGGTTTGATGTAACCGTAAGTTCTATGTTGTCAGTTTCACCTCGCTTGTGGAATTCACTTCCAATTTCTTGCTTCCCTGTTAACTTTGACCTCGCGTTTTCAGTTACTTTCTCATCGCCGTAACTTTAACTTCCCTATACATATCTTCATGGCAATTCTTCTTGTGAATTTTCCTCTGTGGTGCCTAGATTTTATTAATTTAAGCACAGTGCTTGAAAAGAGCAAGGTCTCATGTTTTTTCAGTGTAAATGGCTAGATGTAACAATAAGTTCTAGTGTAACAATTTCTTTTCTAATAGTTCTCGTTTGTGGAACTCTCTTTCGGCTTATTGCTTTCCAGGCTTGATCTTCAAAAATGTAAATGTGATGTCAATTATTTTCTTCTGTCTTCTAAGTTCCTGTTCTTTTATTGTTCATACTCCCTAATAAATTCCTGTTCTTTTATTGTTCATACTCCCTAATAAATTTCTGTTCTTTTTCTTATATTCTATCACACTCATTAACCCAGTGAGTCTTAGTGGCTTTATTGTCTTGCTTGGGTGAAATAGGGTAGACAGTTGAAGCATTTTGCTTTAAATGAATACAAATTGAATCTTATTGGTTATATCCAGCATTCCTCAAAAATGTCTTGCTCAAGTATTTGCACTAAATCTATGCATATATCTTAACATCATCATCAACTTTTATGGGACTTATAAATGTGGTCTTAGTGGCATTATTGCCTCATTTGGAGTGAAATGAGTAAAGTAAATATATAAATATATACTCAGTAAACGTTGATTTGTCTAAATCAAAGCTTCAACATTGGCTCTTGCAGTGGATCGAACCTCGAACAGGGGTCTTTGAGAATAATATATTGTTTTATATATTAGGTTGTCCAGGAGGAAGTCCTGACGCACTTTGGAAGTTGAAAGAAAACAACAAATGTTGATCTCTGTCTGGTGGAACTTCCAAGGAGTACTGCATTCCCAGCTTGTTCCACATTGATGCGTCATCGAAGTATTTTCAGCAGCTCGACCGCGTGTACGACAAATTAAAGAAGGAATATCCTGCTTTGGTTAACCGGGGTCGGGTTTTGTTTCCCCAAGACAATGCGAGGTCACACACGGCCAGGTTGACTAAAAAGAACGGAATTGAGATTCTTCCACATCTACCATTCAGTCCCGATTCGAGTGACTATGGCCTATCCCGCTCAATGGCACATTTCCTCCGTGATCGGCGATTCAACACTTTCGATGAAGTGAAAGAAGCTTGTTTGCTGTTTTTTAGTCAAAGCCAGCAGACTGGAACAGATTCAGAGGCTGGCTGATTGCTGACAGAAAATCGTCGAAAATGATAGACTTTATTTTGAAGAGTAAATGTTGGTGATGCTTCACTTTTTTGTTCTCTTTCCGCTTCCTAAGTGAGTCAGGACTTTCTGCCCAAACTAATATTTTCATCACTTGCCCATTATGTTTTCTTATACATTGACAGCTATCCCATTATTTTTTATCACAGTGGTAGATTCTTTATTCTTGTTTTCGGGAATTGGTTAAATAGAAATCCTCAATGATCGACTCAAGATGTCTGAGTGATAATCGATGAAAGAATTAAAACGGACAAAGGACAGTCATGAAATCGATTGATCAGTCGTCCACTTAATAAATCTAGCTGTATTCGTCCTAACAATCTGTGAAATTATTGACTTTTTCTGACACGCTGGACATGGGTTGAAAATTTTCATCACAGACATTTTATGACAACGTGTTTTCGCTGATATTCCAAATATTCGACTGGCTATTTTTCAAATAAAATAAAAAA